ATACTGGACTTCTTACCCCAGTACACATCACTGACTTCAGTGAAGCGGTTTTCCCCTTCACCCTATGGCTCAGGGGGTTACTACATTCTGCAAGCTTTGCTGTGCACATACAGCTCAAACTGCTGTAAGTGATTCCTTTTCCTTCAGCCTCCCATTTTTCATGTAATTATTCAGTAAATTTTCCTTAACATACATATTACGCAAACTCTTCTCTAATCTTCTGGTAACTCCCTCGCTCACAGTAACTTTTTACAAGAGATTCCAGTTCACTAACTACTCTTAAATATCAAAGATAAGGGACATAGAAAAGGGTTTACATATTCAGATTATCCAAGTAATTTCTTACCTGAGTGGGATCTGGGAGGATCAAATCAAAGCTTTTAGGTAAATATTTGTGAAGAAATGTTTTCCCCAGTGAGTGGTTACTGGATTCCAGATTGACAGAAATTACACACCCCAGAAAGGGGCCAGCTTCCCATCTACAAGGTGTACGAGATCCTCAGTTGCCAAGTTCTTGAGGGAACTTGTGTAGATCATATCTGAACTAGACAATACTAATGTTTTCATAATTACAGCTCTTTAATCCATGAAGCTAATATATCTAAACCAGTGCACCTGCAGAGCTTTAAGATTCAGATGCCATACCCTTCCTTAAGGAGTGTAACATGCAGAGACTTGTGTGTGCTGCTTTAAGCAACACCAAAGATGGTGTTAAAAGCAAGCCCTACCCAAACTTACTAAAAGCAATCTCACCAAGGTCTAAAGCATGAAACTATCTGAAGGCTTAAAATGGAGATCTTACAAGACCAAGAGCATTAGACTCTTTCGTAAGCAAGAAAACATAGTTGCTATTAAGCTCCATCATATCCAAATCCTGATTTTGCAGCAATTCCAAAAAATTTAAAATCTTACTATGCCATAAGACAAAAATCTAATTCTTTGACACAGGCCTTCTGCATGAATTTGGGCAGAGTAACACAGCATCTCAGTTCCACATCCACACAGCAAGAACAACAGAACTACCCTGCCTGAGAGAGGTGTCAGAGACCAAGTGTGTCCTTAATTATGAAGCTCTACCACATAAACACCGAAAACTGAAACAACAGAGAGCCAAGCAGAGAACGGTGAATCATCACCTTTATAATAAAAGGCAGAAAGAGCAGTATACCAACTGCCTAACCATCACTCAACCTGAACAACTATGAGGCTTTAAAAAAAACACACAACCCTACTCTAAGAAATGGCTTGAAACCTCTACAGCTTGGGACACTTCTACAACTTCAGTCTGGATTTCCATCACACGAACTGCAGAGAACAAACCTACATTGGTGGAAAGACAAAATGGAGGTTTCATTAGATTTTCCCTCATCTCTAGTTTTATTTAATTCCATACAATCTCTCAGGATTATGTATGCATCTACCATACAAAAGTGTTTCAAGGATAACTGATATGTCTGCACAGCACTTTGCATTCTCGAAGTCCTATATGAGTGTCAAATATTAATAATGAACTGCAGAAAGAAAGCTTCTTTCTGCTTTCCACTCAAGGAACTAGTATCTGAATTTTGAAAAGTATATGGATCCACTGAAGATAGAATACATGTTTTAGAAGTTAAGAAGGAGATGCTAAATGACAAAATTAAAAAACCAAAGTATTTCCAGAATCATTGCATTTTTCTCATAGGGAAGTGCAATTCTAGTGGAAGAATCCTGTTTTCACCACAGTCCTGGTTTTTACACTCTCTTTTCCAGCTGACTTGACTGAAGTGCAGACCATCAATATCTGAAGTGCCTTGTTTTGATTATACTGGCCTTTGCTGGTACCAATCTAGTTAAGGTAGCACCAAGAATTTCCAGCATAAAACACATTTACAGGTTTATAACTTGGCTCTAAAAATTCTACTCCAAAAGACAGTGGGAGGCAGAAAGGCTCAGATGAGTGCATTATACTACATATCCTATGTGATGCATACTTGCTCACAATGGTATGCGAAGGGGAGGGATTAAATTTAACTCTGAATCACCATGTTTCACAAGACACCTAAAATGATACTTTTAACTTCCCCATTCATATAATCAAAATAATGTTTTGTAAGTGTTTCAGCTAATTAAGAGCTTAATTTGCCCAATTTCACAGTTTGGCTTATATCATAGAAGGTGTCAATATAATACAGGAATTGGAATGTCATGTGTATTGATCATATTCATACACAAACATTCTCCTCCCTCCTCCCCTCAGAAGTCAATTGCAGCTTGTCTTCAAAGGGTCAACATCTAGATCATGGTATGTTACAGACTGCTAGCAGCACAACTCTGCCATTCAAAGAAAGGCCTAAATGAAGATCAAGGCTGAATAAATTAACTGTAGGTGTTTGCCTTTTTGTAAAAGATAAACTCACAGGAAACAGCTATAGTAATGAGAGCTCTGCAGGTTACCTAAAATGCTATTCTTAAAGCAACATGTATTTCTGGCCACTGGTATTGTATTTCCTCTAGCCCACATAGGAACAGAATACAGCTCTCCACCACAGCACAGCAACATTAAATACAAAAACCTGGCATTAAAGGGCAGAGGGTAATGGCATCAGTGTGGGCGACCCATGCTCAGGTAGTGTTCAACTATTATCTCCAGTTTAAGTAGCCTGGAAATATGCAAATCCAGCCAGCACTGTTTTTAGATAAAATTGTCAGTTTTATGGATATTTATAGTTTGTGTCCAGTCTTGCAGAACTCCATCTTCCTCCACCTCATCTGTAATATAACCTGCTTTTAGCCCACATTAATACAATGCGTTACTGGGATACTTCTCACATTCTGTATAAGCCAGGTAGCAGATCAATACTCAGCTATGCTGAGGAGGAAAAAAAAATAAATAAAATCATTACATTAGGATCCTGTTAAAAACACAGATACCAGGAGGACAAATGTGATGCACAGATACCATTCCATCCGGATGCATATGTAGATTACTGATTTGAAATACATAAAAAGTGGCTTTCTTTCCAATATACGGTTTTAGAGAGTCCTACAGGTAGGACCTTTGGTATACATCCTACACCAAATCAGTCTCACCTCAAAAAAATTTAACCTCTCTGCTTCTCACAAGAGCTCTTTCTTTTGATCAAAAGTTTCCACCCTTTGTATCAACTCCCTTACCCATATACTTCCTGTGGTGAAATCACAGCACTGAAACTGGAATAGCAAAGCTATTTCCATGACAGCATCTGCTAATGACACAAGCTCAGGTTTATAACTTTTCCTTGGATGAAGGAGAAATTAAAAGATAAAGACTTTAGAATCAGGAACAGTAAACTAAAACTCAAAAGGAAAGTAGCCACTTGGAAAAATATTTTTTAAAAAGTCTAAGTTCTTATATTATTTAAGGTTGCCTAATGTGAAAGCCTCCTTAGAAAATTTACTAACTGAGCATTTTGGGTTTTTTCCCTCTCAGTACTTTTCAGAGTCAAAAAAGAATATACCCTACCGGCATGAGAGCATTGGTAATATAACATAGCAATAATAGATGCAGGTCTGTTTGCCTCAGAAGTAAAAGAAAAACAGAACAGCCACACAATCCTCTCCCTATTGTTCTCCCAAACTACCATGTAAGAAACAGAAACTGATGCCATGCCCCATAGGTCAACAAACTTGAGCACTGTGAGACAATAATTGCAGAGTTGAGATTCCTCCGAGACACCTTGCCTCCAGCTCAGCAAAGTTTAAATCAAGAAAACATCAGCTTCAATGTCCCAACTGACCTTCACTAGTGTGGACCTGGAGAGGGAGAAAAATGGTCTCTGGGAGAGAAGCTCCAAAGCATGCTTCACCTTTGCAACACATCACTCATCCAAAGAAATGTCTTGCAAATATAATACAGGACTCAGTGCCCATCTTTTTACAGGTGTTCAAGCTCTTCTCAGTTTCACAAAGTCAATGTTAGTTGACAGCAGTAAGCAACTTGCACAATCAAGTTACTACTTACTACTTTTAAGATACTGAGACAAGACTGGAGAGAATCAAAGCCACCCTGTTAGCACCTGCAATGAAACTCTTGTGTTTTAAGGGGTTTCGCTGCTGTAGTTTTTCATTCTCTCCCACTCTGCTCAGGTGACTTGGCTCTTTCTTTTGGGCTCACGGTACCATAGATCCCTTCACCACCACGTTTCATCATTTCACAACTCCAGTTGCCACGACAACAGGATGCAGCTTATCTGTGCTGTTTTCATATTTCCAGTTTTTGTTGCCATAACAACACAATCATTCTGGCTTTCTACAAAAACAGCAACTTTAATCCATGTATTCTCAAGGACGCAGGATTCATCATACATGTATCTTCATGAAAGAAGAGATTTGTACAAGCAATTTGTAAATTAAGCTATTTTTTCTGAAGGGGGATTTTTCACTCACAAAAGTGAAAAGCTGACAGCAATTGCTAGAGGCAGACTGCTGAGACATCTAAAGCCTGGCCTTTAATAATAGCCAGAGTAATATAGCACTAGGCCACTTCTGAGTAGGGACTCCCCACAGTGTCAAATTGTGTCAAACTGCACAATTGTTATGTGATGTGAGTAAGTGTCCATACTTGTTTCACCCAGGCAGATCTGAATTAGACGTTAGATGCAATTCTCCTGAGTTTTAACCCAGTGGCCTCCCCATTATTACCAGCACCACCACCATGCAGCTTTGTGTTTGAAGGTCCATTTTAATTCTGTAATTCAAGCTGTTGTTGCAGATTTCTTTTCAGACTCTGACCCTTTTCGCTTTCAGGTGACTGCATTTTGAACTTTTATTTACAGGAAGTGCACATTCATAAGACTGGTGAGAAAATGTTATACAAACACAGCATGCATAAACACAAAACAGTGATGGCTATGAGGGGTATCAACTAACATGGCACCGTAACTTCATTACACCCTCATTTATGTACTTCACTAATGAGACAAGCACAGGTGTCCAACACAGTCCCTCACATGAGATGAATAACAATAATACAGTCCAACCTGCTTTAGCCATGCTTGGTATCCAGAAGATATAAGTTGGAATCCATCTTTTGGCATGTGTATTCGGGGCTAGGAGAGAATAGACATAAAGAGAGACCTCCTTTTACACTGGGACCTAGCTAACCTAAGTCTAAATTCTGGAGCATTTTAAACAATGCAGATTTTTTTATGCCACATATGAAGGTTTAGTCCCCAGAATAGTTCTTGTTTACTCAAGAACTCGGCTGCTTTAAGAACACTTTTCTAATAAAACCACCATCATTTTTACAATTTCCACCATTTTACATTTCAACTCAGTATATACAGGTATTTCTTTAAGATTTCCACACAAATGCACTTGGATAAGCACAGCCTCAGTGGTGGGTACAGTAGCAGAGACTAATGGTCATTAATGCTTTTGCCACTACATAAAGCTAAATGGTGTTGAAACAGCAGTAGTCAAGCTATGAGAGTGTTTTTACAGTCACCATCCTCAACACAGTCAGACCACACATTGGACAACATGAAAAGATTAAGGAAAATGTCTGAAGAGGTGCAGCCTTAATAGCGGGGTAACAGGAAACTATACTCACACACAGCCATAAATTATGCCTCAAACTAACAGACAAATATAATCTCCTCCTCATTTATTGTTTTCATGCTTTATTGGATTGAGAAAAAGGCAAGACATCCAATTGCTCTGGAATCACAAAACATATATAGCATAACTCACAGCTAGAAAATAAAAGTATGCAACAAAAAAATGAAACACTGCCTGCCATGACATTCATTTGCAGTTCAAAGATATTCTCACAATCAAGTGGATTCAACTGTTCCCACTCCCTCCCAAAAAAAGGAGATGCTTAGAAATTAAAATCACATCTAAGCAACAGGACCAGACAGGACATCCTCAGATACCAAGTCCAGAGATCTTTCTTACTCCTGGAAACTACTTCACAATCTCTTTCTTAATTCACTGTACTTCCCCTCCAAACCAGCAGATGTGTGTCCCTACCACTCATTCTGGAAGGCTGGAAAAATCTTTCTCATTTTCAGAATGACTTTATTCAAGGTGAGTTTATCCCCATTTGTTCTTGTGTCAACAAAATATTTAGTTTGTACAAACTGTCCACCTTGGTACTCGTAACACTAAAAAATACAATTGGTTGGAGAGGAAAAATGTGTCACCACTGAATGACGAAGCTTCACAGCTATAGAGGTCCAGCCTTGGCATTTGAAATTAAGTAGTAGAACAGACTGAAATCTTGCCTCTAGAGAGGTACACATACAGGATTTTACAACATACTTTGAACATTAGTTATTTTTGCTTCTCTCCAGTTTGAATTTAAATCCTCCTAAATCTTTCAAAGCAGTAGTAAGATTATGCCCTGGTGTCCTAGTCAGTAATCTCAGTTAAACAGGAATTTTAATAACCACCATTGTGCTGATAAATTAAAGTCAAGTATATCTGGTTACTGCACTCACCTGCTGAGTTTGGACTTGCAATGCTTATAACACATTAACAAACTATGTTTTAGGGGACTTCTCACACAGCTAGAAGCATCATGCTCCGAGACCTAATCCTTACTTCAGCACTAACTTCATGGGTGGTTAGTCTCTCTACTACTGTAAAATTAGGACAACACTCATTTAACCCACCTCACAGGTTTGCTGAGAGGAACTGCTGACATTTCTATGTGCTTTGAAAATGAAAGAAACTATATAAAGTGCTACAGATCTAGCAAGAACACTACAGAAACCCACATTTTACTTCTGTTTCAAGTGCTTCCATTGCTTTTTCGAAGTAGCACAGCACAGTATACCTATCAAGCAAAAAAAGAAAAAAAAAAGGCACCTTCATAAACAAGCAGAAATAACGATCTTTTGAAATCACAGTGTCAGGAGTAAAGAGACCTGAATACCAGTCTCAGATCTTCCCAGGTTCACGCAACAAACTGTGAAAAATGACTTCATTTCTTTCTGCTTCTGTCACCTAACCTACAAATTAAAGGATAACAGTTAAACTCTTCTCTTAGGACCTGCAGGCTGCTTAACATTTGTAAAGCCCATCGGTCCAGAGTAGTTTGAGTAACTGATTTAAGACCATGACTTAAACCATTTAATTTGAAGACCCTGGTCCTGCAAACATGTAAGTGTAGTAACAGATCTATCGCAATCAACAGGATTACTCTCATGCAGGAGTGTCTCCAATATCAAAGACAACACTGTATTTCTATGTAGACAATTCTTACCAACACAAGTTCCTTGTGACCTGAACATAAAGTTACCTGAGTATTAGCAATAAAAGTAATCAGGACTTTCAATAGCTACTGTAAACTCAATTTATTTTTCAATGCTGAGAAGTTAAATATACAAATAGAAGAAACTTAAGACCCATCACTCACCCCTCAACACCATATTTGCAAAATCCTCTCAGTGAGTTATGTCTCCTCTACATTTGATAAACCTACCCTCATCTAAGAAGAAAATAAACTATATAGAAGAGAAGCAAATTTTACCAGTATGAAGTATGTCACTACCCACATACTGCTGCTTATGCCATTAAAGTGGGCTATTTGTACAAGTGAGCCCCCATTCACATCAAACACAAGCACTGATAGAAAAGCGTTATTTAATTAAAATCTCATAGATTCACCATTGGCTAAACTTTTACAACCAATCTCCTAAATTCTGAACTTCTGTAGTTCTCCTAGGCACATTGTGAACGACCCCTACGAATGCATTCTTCAGCATAGACAGGTAATTAAATAAGTACATCTGGTTAAAATGTTCTAAATTTCAGTACCCAAATGACAGCAGACAATTACAAAATTATAGAAGAGGAACCCATATATGCTTGACAATTTAAAATATAAAATAAAATTGCCCCTCTTCCCCCAGCCTTTAAAAGATGTGGGACACAGACAACTGCCTTGTTTGAAAGCTGTACTATTTTATCAATCAACACTAAAATCTTCCACGATTATGATCCATTCAAGGCAATTCTATCAGCAATGCAATTAATTGCCCAGCAAGATCTACTCATTTTCATATTTTCATGACTACACACCATTTATGCTCATGGTTCAATATCATTGATAAGCATAGTATTTTCTCTCAGCATCTGCTCCAGCATTTTCCATGACTAGAAGTCAGGCTGCTAGGGTAATTTTCCTGTCTTTTTCAATAGCCACAACAGTGTTTGCTTTCCTCAAAAAGTAACTCTGAAAGCACTCTAACTGCTAATTTCTATTATGCTATTTTGTGAATATTTCACGTTTTTATCTAGGTGGGTGACTAATTTGTAATATAAGACTGTCTACTTCCTTTTCCAAGACATTCATGTTTATTATTGAGGACTTGCTTTAAAAATGAGCCTTCCATCACCACAGACTGCTTATTCCACAACCATCAGCAACTTATTCATAGTTCTGAAATGCAGTTTTGCTCTATATGAAATGCCTGCTTTCTCTTTAGTCTTTTTGGTGGCCACAGAACTTGTCATATATATATTACCCATATATTAAAATTATTATATATATTGAAATTGTCTATAAGCCCATGAGCCAGAATAGCTTACTTTGCTCGTCTTTTTCTTCTGCCACTCCTGACTTTCTTCCTTTAGTAATCTGCTCTTCCATTCTTAATCCATTTGATTTCTGCAGTCCCTAGCAAGGCCCAGAACAACAGAATGATTTCTGAGAACAAGTCAGTAATTTAAAATTCAGTGGTACCCTCTTCCCTTCCCTACAAAGGCTGATTTCAGAGGACATTTAATTACAGGCCTGAGTTCCTATTTTCTAAGCCTAAACACAACCCCTGAAGGCTTACAATATTTGAGTCACAGCTGGAGCTGTGGTTACTATACAGTTTAAATATCAGCCTCTTTACTGTGCAATTTGTTTTGAAAATCAAATCAGATGCCGTGTCATAAACAAGTGCTAATTAAGTACTGAGCGGAAATTGGGCTTTTTTGTGCAAGAAGGGTTCTTAAATATCTGCATCTTCACTTCCATAAGAAAGGATAAATATGTCAAGAATGATAATTATAAAAGGAAACCTACTATGGTACTTGCAAGGCAGTACTGCTGCTTCTCCATTTCAACTGCTTCCATGTAAGAAGAAATGGGGGGGGAAAGGGGGGCGGAACTGAGACCTGTATGAAATATATATGTACTAAGGATCTTATGAATCTGATCATATAACCCATAATGCTTCCTTTTCCCTCAGAGAGGGCATTCACTCTGGGTTTCCATCACATACGATTTAAACAGGCAAGCTAAACCCATCTCTCTCTGTCAATGCAAAGCAATAGTGAAGCTACTTAGATTTTCATTCCTTTTAAGTTATGATCTACACACAGTATTTATTTGACGGTAACATTTCATTCATTAAATATAACACCTTGTTTGATAAATATCAAGTAAAGAACAGGAATAATGCATTTTAATACTCTGACGGTTGCCTCTGAGTAACAATATTCACGACTCCATTAACTAACAGGCTCTTGGCTACAAAGGCAGAATTAGATCTGTCAGTCACTGACATGGGAGGGCATGGCCAGTTGCACTGAAGATTGTCCATTTGAGATTACTTCCACAGCAAAGGAAAATATCCCCTGTGGCCTAGAACTTGTTAATGAGTTTGTATGCATTACAGCAATAAATTGAATTCCTACTACAGAATATACAACTTCATGGCCCAGACACCTTACTCCACTGCCCAAAGCAGGACTCAAAATAAGGCACAGTTACATCTATGGACTCTAACTGAAGAAAACCAAAGACAGGATTTCAAAATCTTTCATTACTATTAGGAGAGAACACCATGAGCGCTCTGATTCTAAAACCATAAGCTGATAATATTTAAGCGTGCCCTTTGTGAGACTTTGTAGAAGGAACAAACAAACACTGAGTCAGTTGACTGTCATATCTCACAGTTTGATACAAACTCCTTCAGAAGGACGCAGCACTCTAACAGTAGGCTCTGACTGCCTGCAAACTTAATGAATTCACCGCACATGGTGAACATGGCTACTCTAGTTCTTCAGTGAATCTGTTTGGAGCATGTTGACTGAGATGTGCTCAAAA